TTATCTCAAAAGGAAAAGAAAAATGTTTGTTGCAACTGATTATAAAGCGTTAGCTGGAGTTTGGCTTCAAATTATTTGTATTCAGATCTTCTAAAACATTTAACAATCCCAATTCCCCCCCCCCCCTTCCGATGCTGCCATCTACTGTGTACTGGCTCATTCCGCCACAGTGGTGTCTCACTAATACTGGAGGTGTATTACTGGCCAGATCACTAGGTAAAAACAGGGAAAGAGCCAAATAAAATAAAACTGATGCAGCCACCACATCTAATGATTGGTAAGCTGCATTATAATAAATCTCTAGTTTGGGGTTTAATACCGATTTAACTCAATATTTTCCCTAACCTTTAAATGTAGGCAAACCATCCAATACACTTTTGTATGAACTGTCAAAAATGTTTGTTTATTCCATAAACTTGGTTTATATACAGTAATTCCAACTTCTGACCATTTACTTTTCTTCACTGCAGTCAAAGCAAAACATCTCTGTCAAGACGTATTGGATAATGAAGGAGCAGCAGCTCACTGATGAGGTCATCTCTGTGCTTTCTACTCCAATTACTAAGCTACATTTGTTAAATGCAGTAGGCTGTTACTACAAAAACTGCTAAAAGTACTGTCAAAAAGTACATTTAAGTTTTTTTTAATAATTACATCCCTGGTTTAAAAGGGTTTGTTTTTGCATGCCTAACCTTTTTACATTGGGCGTAGGGGTCATTTTCTGTGCCAAAAATGAGACTATTTAAAAAAAAATCTAAAAGTACATTTAAGTATTTTTTTAATAATTACATCCCTGATTTGAAAGGGTTTTTTTTGTATGTCTAAACTTTTTATATTGGTGGGAGGGGTCATTATCTGTGCCAAAAATTAAACTATTTACAAAAAATTATTATTTTTCCTGCTAAGTGAAAAAGAGCTATTATTGTGGCCTTGACATCTACAATGAAATTATTCCTTTCTTAATTCTGATAGCTGTTTTAAGATATTCATGCATCTTTCCATTCATATATGTGAGCTGGATTCTTACATAACTTCAATATAGTTGCAAGTGTGATGGATGGCAGAATATTTGTCCCGAGGGTGGATGATTGGAATTATAGGGTGTGCAGTTTTGATTACCAAGCCTGGAAGCTTACAAAAAAGAAAAAATTAATAAACTAATAAAGCAGGGAGCCAGGCCAAATCATAAAAGGCATAAACACTATTACACCCAGAGGTTCCCATCCTTTATTAGAAAAGACACACGTAACAGGGGAACACCCAGTTTTGGCAAAAAGGGGCCTCCAGAAACATGATGTGAAATGGAGTATAATTGCATTGCCACGGGGCAAAATTCAGAAACATTATGGGAGTTGCTGTTCCAACATGTACACTAAGTATCGCTGGGGCCATTACACATAACTATTGTTTATACCTGTGATATACTGTGTGTTCTTGGGAATTTTGCAGTTACCAGGGTGAGTATATGTGAAGGAGATCATGAGTCACAACCTTACATATGCTGAAAAGCAAACAAATATTAAAGTCTAGAGCTGAGTGAACTGGTGATCCAGACCAGGTCGAGCTGAGTAACAGATATCTGTAAAAATTAGCTGATCAATTGGATCTTATCAGCTAGTTCTTCTTTTTGTTTTTATAATTTGTTTATCTCTTAAAAAATAGTAGCAAAGCATCCAGTCTGATTTCTCAACACCAAGAAGGCCACAAGCAGTAAGGCCCCTGGCTGTGCTAACATTAGTACCTGTTCCCTTCTTGCTTAGGTTGACTTGTTTACTTACCTATTCTGCATGTCCCAACTAAAGTTAAAAGAACATATATCACCTAGCTTAGAAAATGCACAATTAAAAAATTCTATTTCTTGGTCAGTTTATTAAAGAGGGTTAAAACAATAGTCCAAATTGGTCCTCTATCTTACATGTGTGTTTCTTCTTCAATTAAAACATATGATTCATTTTGGGTGAGTTTTATTCATCCAATGCCTTTAAGCTTGAGGTTTCAGCCCCTAAAAGTAAAAAAAAAAAAAAAAAAAAATCACTCCAGGGTTCCCTTCGCTTTAGCTCACTAAAGAACATTTAAGTTTTGTAACATACCAACAGCTGGCAGCACAAGGTTGCACGCACAGGCACAGCATAAGTCAGTCTGCCAAAAAACATCATTCTGTGTACATCGGGAGCTGTGCAACTGGTGCTATTCTGACATGAGTTACCACATCTATTTCATCATGGACAGCAAGTTCGAACAAAGAGCAAATGTGAAATTCTGCGTGAAACTGGGCAAATCTGCCACAGAGACGTTTGACATGATTCAGCAAGTTTACAGCGATGCTGCAATGAGTCGTTCAAGGTGTTTTGAGTGGCAAGCACATTTCAAGATTGGAAGAACATCACTGGTAGACGACGAAAGATCAGGCAGACCTTTAATGTGCTCAACCTCCGAAAATGTCGAAACCATCCGGCAACTTTTGCATAGTGATCGTTGGAGAACAATCCACAGCATTGATGCCATTGTTGATGTGTCATACGACACAGTCCAGGCAATCTTCATGTGTGATTTGAACATGCGCAGTGTTGCTGCCAGGTTCATCCCCAGGCTGTAATGATCTCACTTCCGCACCCACCCTACTAACCAGATTTGTCTCCTGCAGACGTCACCCTCTTCCCGAAGATGAAGATCCAGCCATTTTGACAACACTGTGGAGATCCAGCTCGAATAGCAGAAGGTGCTTGACGCGCTTCGAAAAGAAGACTTCCAGGACACATTCTACAAGTGGCAGGAATGCTGGGAGCACTGTATTGCTGTGCAAGGGGACCATTGTGAAGGTGATAGTGTGTAAATGTAGATAAATAAAGTACTTTCTTGTAAACAGAGCTAGCCTCTAAACTTTTTGATACCACCCTCGTGAGAGGGAAATCTCTATAACAGAGCCCCAAATAGCAGTAACACCTGACAGGACATCTAATCATTCTTCTTTACATTCACACTAACTAAAAATATGATTTGTCTGATTTGAAAGCCCCCATAACACACATTTTTGGAAGCAAATTGGGCAGGCTTTAATGGCTGCACACCACACATATTATTATTATTATACAGTATTTATAAAGCGCCAATAGTTCGCTCAGCGCTGTACATTACAGAGGGGGACAGAACATGTGACAGAACAATACCAATACAATGCAAAACATGAGAGGATTGAGGGCCCTGCTCTTTCGAGCTTACACATATGCATCCATAGGGCCACAGAGCTTTCTGTGCAGAAATTCTCACTGCACAGTGAACGAGCTGTAAAAGACAGCTCTTGGTCCATACTAATGATCAGGTGTCAGCAGGACTGGCTCACTGATAGCCAATCACAGTTGCCACATAATCAACTGATCCTTCCTGCCCCCAGGCGTACAGACCCTATTAAAGTTATGCCAGGACTGGGAAGGAAGGGGTTCATTCTTCTGGAAACTCCAGGCAAATAAAATTAGTCTGAAAAATCTCTAAGATTTATAAAAGCCTTTTGACAGGATTTCAGTTTGTATTCACATAATTCCATACCATACTAAATCCTATTTTGAAACCTACTGAGGGTGGTTCCTGGAACCTGGGAACACCTGTTCTGCATATTCCCAGAATGAGATTAAAGTGACCCGAAACCTTTTGAGGTTTTTTTTGTAGAAATAATAAAAATGTTATACTTAACTGCTCTGTGTAATGGTTTTTGCACAGAGCAGCTCCAATCCTACTTTTCTTGGGTCCCCTGCCAGCACTTCTTGCTCCTCCGCTTCAGTGAGTGCCCCCATAGGAAACCGCTTCCTATGGAGACACTAGTGTGTGCTCGTTCTACAAGCCCCCCTATCTGCATATATAGATCCAGACATAAATATGAGGGGGGGGGGGGGGGAGGGGATCTTGGACACAGAGGGGTTATTTACTTAAATGCAGAGAGTGCATTAAAGCAGAGCTCCACCCAAAAGAGGAAGCTCCAGTTTAATGCTTTCTACCCCCTCCTCTTCCTCACCTTTTTTTGTAGGGGGGGGGGACCAGGTACCTAATTATGACAGGTACGGCCTCTCTCTTCTTTCTGTTCCCTCCTCTTCAAGGACACGTAACAGGTCCCAGAACACTGAGAGACCATTCACAATGTGCAGCACGGCTCGAGCATGCACATTCAGCTGTGAAGCCGCAAGCGTGCCAACAGTTGAGATGCCGGGGACAGAAGACTGAGGGACGGGATGGCTCGGGTGAGCACATCACTGGATCCTGGGACAGGTAAGTATCTGTTTATTAGAAGTCGGCAGCTACAGTTTTTTTAGCCGCTGACTTTTATTAAACACAAAAATGTCAGGAGCTTCTCTTTAAGGTAAAAAACATTAAAGTGGTTCTGAACATTGGGTGTTTTCTACCTTTGCATTCCCTGAATTAAGGTAAAAAAAACTCACCCACTTTTTCCTTTCCCCCCCCATCTAAACACTTACCTGAGCCTGTCAGGGATCTAGCATTGTGCCTAGGTGCACTCTTCTCTCCCTCTTCTAAGACCCAGGCAGCTGCAGGAGCCAATGGGTCAATCAAATGATATTAGGAGGGATCAGGGGCGGGGCAAAGCTGCACTGTCAGTGTCAATGGCCACAGGTAGGGCAGTTCGGGAGCGAGACGGTAATTATGCCCCTATTGCAAGCGGTTTGATGAGGAGACGCCTAGAGCGCCAGTGGGGGTCCCCAGGAGAACTGGGGTTCCCTGTGCAAAAAGATGGACAGAGCAGGTAAGTATGACCATTTTAACCACCCTACCCACGCCGTTATTCGCGGCCTTGGCTGTCAATCACCGGGTCCCGGCCTGCTATTTCTCACCCGCACACGATGATCACGGAATATGTCTGACGGGGAGAGACCCGAGTATAAACAACACAGATTTCTCCCGTCAGCTCCTGCACACTACTTTGTATGACTCTGCATAACAGAGCCATACAAAGCAGTGTGCTTACAATGAAACAGCACACAGTGCCTTTAGTGCAGTGTTAGTGCTTTTTATTAGCACTGATCACTGTATTGGTGTGACTGGGGATGTCAGTGACACCAAGTCAGTTACCCCCAGTGTCAGAATGTCGGCTGCAGTCCCGCTATAAGTCGTTGATTGCTGCCATTACTAGAAAATAAAATAAAAAAATTCCAGTACATATACCACCATTTGTAAACGCTATAACTTTCGCGTAAACCAATTAATTTACATTTATTATTATATTATTACATTTATTTATTGGTATTTTGTTTTAGCAAAGACATGCAGCAGAATACATTTTGGGCTAAATTTATCATGAAATTTGATTTTTTTTATTTTTTTTTACTGGACATGTTTAATAGCAAAAAGTCAAAAATATTGTTTTTATCAAAATTGTTGGGGTTTTTTTTGTTTATAGCTCAAAAAATTAATACCGCACAGGCGATCAAATACTACCAAAAGAAAGCTCTATTTGTAGGAAAATAAGGACGTAAATTTCATTTGGATGCGTTGCGTGACCGCACAATTGTCAATGTAACGCAGCACCGTATCACAACAAATGGCCTGGTCAGGAAGGGGGGGGGGGTAAATCCTCTGGAGGGCAAGTGGTTAAGGGCCATTCTGAAAATTTGGATAACAGGAGCCACAGGAATTTTACATGGGGTAATATCATCTACCCCTAATTATTACAAGGGTGAAATTTAGAAATTGGGTGTGCAATGAAGAAAGTACAAAAAGCAGAATGTATAAGGTCTAAATTCAGTTTTATTCAACTCTTTTATTGTAAAAAGCCAGGGCTTAGTCAACATCTGGAGCAATCATACGTATTACCAGGATCCATCTAATTTTTTAACTTTGTTCAACAGTATCAAGCCCTGATGAAGGAAGACTCTTTTAAACCACCGAAACGTCATGACAACACCATGGCATTTTAGTGAATATAAACTGCTAAATCATCAGCAGTATATACCAGTCTTATAACTTCAATCCAGCCGAGTACTGGCTAATCTTGTAGGAGGAGTTTTTATTCTCCTCTGACTATCTTATGAGGCTGCATGCCCCTAACCCTCTGTCTGGACAGCACTGATTGGCCCTGTGCCAATCACATGCACCCTCCCAAAAACTCTATCAATACACACCAAACAGAGCATGTACAGACTTACAACTGCTGCTCTAGCTATGGCAGAGGGATTGGAAACAGCAAAAGAATGGGATTATCACAGAAGACAGGATCAAACAACTTCTTTTAAACAATGCAGAGGATTAACCCCTTAGGTTCTACAGTGAGTATAACAAGCATGCTTTACTACATATACAGACTGATTTTACTGTGGGTAGGTTTAGTAACACTTTATGTGATTGGATAAATTTACTTTTGGGCTTACCAAAAACAGCTGTACTTTTTTTCAGACGCAACTACAATCCTACTTATATCGCCTGTTATTCCCTCTGATTTGCAAACAAATGTGGATGATTCTTTTTTTCAACTGCTATACCATTGAAAGGATTTTGTACACAGATTTTGAAGCATGCTTGAAAATCAATGCAGTAGATAACAAGCACTTTTATGGCAAGTGTTCATTTTAAGCTCCCACACTACAGCATTATCAAATTAGTTGGATCTTTCAAGAAAACTGAATATGATAAGCAGCAAAACCATTCTAAAAAAGCTTCACATGATGGCCGCTTCAAGAGTTTTTAATGTGAAATCTCCCTCTTATGTTTTAATATACGAAATAGGTTTCTCAGACAGAAGACAGTGTTCATAATAAGTGGTTTATATTTTCACAGATTTTAAATCTGGGTCATTCAAAAAATAAAGATACCAGAAAAATAGTCCAAGGACTGAAGATCGGATATAGTGCTGCCTGTGTCGCCATTGGATGGATTTCGTACTGTCTGACACCATGTGGGGTTATTTATTAAAACTGGAGCGTGCAAACACTGGTGTAGCTCTGCATAGAAACCAATCAGATTCCAGGTTGTATTGCCAAAGCTTAATTATTATTATTATTCTACAGGATTTATATAGCGCCAACAGTTTGTGCAGCGCTTTACAATATAAGGGAGACAGTACAATTACAATACATTTCAGTACAGAAGATAGGAGGGCCCTGCTCGTGGAGCTTACAATCTAAAGGAAGGCGGAGGTGATACAATGGTGATAGCTGCGGGGGATGATCTGGTGGAGGTGATTCAAGTACAGTTCTTAGGTGGAGGTGGGGTAGGCTTCCCTGAATAAGTGAGTTTTCAAAGATCGCCTAAAGGCAGACAGGGTGGGGGCTCACCGGACATGCTGTGGTAGGGAGTTCCAGAGGACCCATCCTCTGGAACTCCCTACCACAGCATGTCCGGTCAGCCTCCACCCTGTCTGCCTTTAGGTGATCTTTGAAAACTCACTTCTGCAGGGAAGCCTACCCTTCTTTGAATAGAGGCTATCATAGAGCCTATGTTGCTATCATATGTTATCATAGAGGCTCTGGAGAAGTCCTGAAGGCGAGCGTGGGAGGAGGTGATGAGGGTGCTAGAGAGGAGGATATCATGGGAGGAGCGGAGTGGGCGATTTGGGCGGTATCTGTGGATGAGGTCAGCGATGTAGCTAGGGGCAGTGTTGTGGATGGCTTTGTAAGCTGTGGTTAGTATTTTGAATTTTGTACGTTGGGTTAATGGAAGCCAGTGGAGGGATTGGCAGAGAGGGGCAGCAGTCGCTGATCGGTTGGTAAGGTGTATGAGTCTAGCAGCAGCATTCATAATAGACTGAAGGGGGGATAGCCTGTGTAACGGTAAACCAGTGAGGAGGGAGTTGCAGTAATGGAGGCGGGATATAACCAAGGCGTGGATGAGTTGTTTTGTGGTGTCAGAGGTCAGGAAGGGGCAGATTTTAGAAATGTTCCAGAGGTTGACGCGGCAGGATTTAGCCAGTGAGTGGATGTGGGGCCCAAAGGAGAGGTCAGAATCTAAGATGACACCTAGCACCTTGGCAAGAGGGGAAGGACCAATGGTTGTGCTGTTGATCTTAATGGTAAAGTCGTGAGTGGGGGATCGGGGAAGAGGAAATATTACAAGCTCAGTTTTTGAAAGATTGATTTTAAGGTAATGATGTGACATCCATGCTGATATGTCGCTCAGTAGATTTGTGATACGTGAGGAGGTTGAGGGGGTGAACTGGGGAGTGGAGAGATAGATCTGGGTGTCATCAGCATAGAGGTGGTATTGGAAGCCATGGGAGGTTATCAGTTGGCCCAGGGAGGAGGAATAGAGAGAGAAAAGGAGGGGCCCACGGATAAAACCTTGGGGTACCCCAACAGAAAGAGGAAGCGGAGCGGAGGAATTGTATGTGACACTGAAAGTGCGCTGAGAAAGGAAAGAGAAACCAGGAGAGAGCAGAGTCACGGAGGCTGATGGCGTGGAGTTTACTGAGGAGCGGGTGGTCGACTGTGTCAAAGGCAGCGGAACGGTCAAGGAGTACGAGTATGGAGTAATGGCCGTTGGTTTTAGCAGTTAGTAGGTCATTAGTGAGTTTTAGTAGGGCAGTTTCTGTGGAATGGTGTGGGCGGAAGCCAGACTGTCGGGGATCAAGAAGGTTGTTGTCGGTGAGGTAGTAGTTCATAGGGTTGTGAACAAGGCGCTCGAGAAGCTTGGAGGCAAACGGGAGCAGGAAGATGGATCCTAAGTTATTCAAACAGGTGGGGGCCAGCGACGGTTTTTTGAGGATGGGGGTTCCTATTGGCCTTTAATAGTCATGGTTGACCTTAACAGCAAATAGCAACTTTTTGAGAGGTAGTGTAATTGGGACAAGTAAATATACTGTAAGAACTGGAGTCTGTTCAGTATCCCAAGGCTATGGCAGGTCTCAGTTAAGCAGGACTATCAGATTCAGGGCATATCTACCTGGAGGAAAATTATATTCAGTATAGTTTTAGACCATGTCAAGTGTTTCAAAGCAACATTCTCCAGTTTTACTAAGTGTTTAATGTTAAAGTGGTTGTAAACCCAATGTTAGACAAAAGTACTAACTCTCCAGCGCCTCAAAGGGGTCAATGCCATAAACAAGCCAGGGATTCAGGTGTGTAGATGACCTATGGATAAAGTCCAAATGATGCAGCCGTCCTTAGATTGGGAGATCAACGAAACTGGAAAAACGGTGGTGCAAACACCTAGCGTATTATCCAAGGTTTATTAAAATATAAGGACAAAAAACATACAAAATGAATGTATGAAAAGCCTGTAAAGCCACAGAAATGGCCCAAAATGATGGCAGAGTGTCTGACTGGTGGTGCGTTTCGGGGATGTGTCCATTTCCTCAGAGCTCCGCACCACCAGTCAGACATTCTGCCATCATTTTGAACCATCTCTGTGGCTTTACAGGCTTTTCATGCAATCACTTTTTTTTTCCTTTTAAAACATTTGAATAAACCTTGGATAATGCGTTAGGTGTTTGCGCCACCTGTGTGCTTCTTTCCAGTAAACCCAGTGTTGGTCAAATGCTGAAAACTGTCATCCATAAATATCTTTGAGTGCTCTGTGTCTGATCGCCTCTTTGTAAAATTTTTCTGTCACTCCATTTTGGAGATGTTGCCCTCCAAAGTTGTTCCTTTCTGTGGGCGCGGCAGCAGTCCGGAGCTTGGGTGGCAAAGTAGGGATGTCACCAGAATCCCCTTCCCGCTCTACACGCCCTCCTCCCTGTGCTCATCCCCGGCATAGTGGCACGTACTGTGGGAGTACTGACCATGCCCTCTGACGAGTCCTGTCCAATCAGACACCTGGATCTGCACCATCTGTCTTCCTCCCCTTCCACAACACTGAGGGACAAAGCTGCCAATCCAGGTGCAGCAGGAGGAGGAGGAGGGGGAGGGAGAGAGACCGAGAGATCTGTGCATGAGTGCACAAGAGACAAAGGCACTTCTTGTGCTAGTGCATTAGAAGTATTATGTAGGCTGTCAATCAAAGGAGAGGGAGCGTGGGGACACCATTTTATGGCAATGAGGGACAAAGAGGAAAATAGCAGAAGAGTGCCGGGTCTTTTGACAGGCAGACTGGGGGTGTATGCATTGTCCTGCTGTGCAGATTCTGGTAATGTGATTATCTAAATTTATATTTTTTAGGTTTACAACTACTTTCCGTCCG